GTATATGTTCCCATCTGACAAAAATAGAGTCTCACCATATATAAGGCTAAAATTTTGAATGCTATTTGGTTCAGCATGTTGTCTTTAAAAATACTGTGCCACGATAGTTAAGGTAAAACTAGAGGATCATTGTGGAATGCTTAGATATTCTAAATCTGCATTTCATCTTCTCTTTTTATTACATCTCAACCTTGCCCGGTTGAGCCTTTCCCAGCTTTAACCTTTCAAATACGATCTACAGCTGCTGGATGCAACAGGAAATGAACAGTAACTGGCATCAGTAACTTTTTTCTGAGTGTGCAGCACAGCCTCAGTTTGTCTGCTATTGCTGTCCTTTTCCAAAAGTAGTCATTTTTTTCACTCAATGGTGTATTTATTATGATATTAAGCTTCACTAGCAAAGATTCAGAAAGTCTGCTTTCATTTAATTTAGTTTAATTTTCCCAGATTTCTCACCAAACTCCTACCAATAATTTTAGTTAAAATAATAAACTAAAGCAATAATGCAAGCCTACAACAAGCATCTTTTCAAAAATGTGTGTGTACCTGTTTCTAATACAGATCTTGATTATAGGATTTTCATATACTTGCGCACGTCATTGTATATCATAGGAATTTAGCTCATTCAAGTTGGTCTGTTAAATAACAGCATTTGGAAATAAAATAATGCTGCCTTCTCAGAAGGATTCACACTGTAATCTCCTGGATTTATTATTATTAAAAATCATATAATAATTCAGCTTGGAAGGGGCATATGGGATCATCTCATCATCTGGTCCAACCCACAGTCCAGTGCAGCACCAAATTTGAAGTTGGCTCTAATTTCAAGGTCAGATAAATTGCCTAGGGCCTTGACCAGCTGAGCTTTGAGTATCTCCAAAAATGGAGATTTCACACTCTCTCAGAGCAACTTGTTTCACTGCTGATTATCATCACTGTGAAAAAAAACTTCCCTTACATTGTCGTAAAATATTCTGATATCTACCGATCACAAAAAAATGAAGAGCAAAACACTAGTTCACTACTCAAGCTGTATTTTCACAATAAACTTATTAGCAAAGCTATTAAGCATACAGAATTACTAGTCTGAAAGAGAAAATGGGTTAAACACATGCTTGTGAAACCTACTTTATTAAAGGGAGTGATTTATATTACGTGATGCCTGTAATTGCATTTGGTGATCTGGCAGGTATTTCTAGGCCTGTCTTTGCTGAAAGACCTCAAAGGGTCCTCGTTACTTTTTTATTCTTATTCCCTAACTTGTTCTAAATCGTTGTTTTTCTAAATTACTGACATGCCTGCCTGTCATTGTAGTGAATTAATCAAGCTCATTATTCAGTGATAATGCTCTCAACTTCATGGTTCCTAGAACCACGCCTTAAGTGTTATCAAGGGTCAGTTTATTCCCATGTTACAAGAAAAAAATCAGTGGAAGGCAATGTACTTTTTCACATACCCACCTCACACTCTGAGACAATAGACCCTTTTAGTGTCAAAGTAATTTCCTGCTGAAGAAATGTTCCTACTGTTTGTTTTTATTTGAATAGGTGAACAGCATCATATGAGCCTTTCACAGGGTAAATGGGTTGGCCAGGCAATTTTGCCTTCTTGTGGGATCATGCTCTCCACTCAAATGTACAAAGCAATTATATGACTTCCATGCTGAGAAAATGCATTAACTTTTAAAATGAACAGCAGCAGCCTGGTCTTAATAAAAATGTTTAAAACCCACTCTTAAACCACAACTCTAAGTTGCAGCTGAATATGAAACATCCATTTACAGCCAATTACACACAATTTCTATCGTGCTTTGGAAAATATGTATATGCACTAGGAATATTAAAAGCCAAAAACCCCACAACTCTAGGCGAAATAGGGAAAGATTTAAAACTTTTCAAGATATGCTTAGGCAGAAATGCAGTGAGCCTTGTAGCGTAACAGCAGGCATCTATTGAAAGTATGTACAGCATATAGCTAACCCTTGGCCTTACACATTGTAGAAGAAGAACTGCTACAGTCCAAAACTTGCCATTCTAGGAACAACACAATCTATTAAAATGATTCATTCTCAGGAGTTTCTTCCATAGATGAAGAATAAGACGACAATTAAGCTTGGGGCAAAAACTGACTCTTCCAGTGTCACAAAGCCCACAATAGAACCTCTCCTACCTCCAGTGATGAAATAGGCCTTAGAAAAATCTAAAAATCTGCATGAAATCTAGTGAGAACAAAGGCAAACTCACTTAAATCTTGAAGTTACAGGTACTCGTGCTTAAACTGTAGGAACAGCTTTCAGTTTAACTAGTCACACAGCTAGGATGCAGGAAATTTTTCACAAGGCTAAAATTAATACCTATATTCAAGGCCCTTCAACATAATTGCCTATTATGGCATGTTCCACTGAAACACTTATTCACAGGATGCAGTTCTTCTTACTTTGGAAATGAAGGTTTCCAGTGGAGAGTTGTTGCCATTTAAAATGTTCCTGTCTCACAGCAGGACTCCAGGATACTTTCGTAATTCAGACTCCAGATGAGAATAATCGTTTATGGTCAAGTTCTCAAAGAACAGGGAATACTGAACTAACAGAGAAAGATGACATTCTCTTTATGTGTGCATATGTGTTCATATGTAATCCTAATTAATATGTTAATTGGCAGCTGCAGAGAAGAATTAGTAGGATGCTTAAACACCAGCTTTATTTACCTTATTGGTCAGGCTTCCTCCTAAGTCTGCAGTTATAAGCCAGAGTGGTATGAAAAAATTTCAGCAAAACTCATCTTGCTATAGAGACTTGTTCTTGTTATTGCTCCTCAAAAAGCATTTATCTTCCAAATAGTTAATCCAGATTTATAAAAACTTACCTCCTGTCGTAAACCTTCCTTTCTGTTTTTGTACAGAAGTTTTCAGTGTCTTTTAACCTTTAAGAGATGAGTGAAAAACAAAGTTTTCTGTCTGAAAATCTAGTAGTCTCCTCTGATCAGAAGACTACAGTATCCTCCTGTCTAGAAGGTGGCAAATCCGTGCTCAGGGAGAGATTATTCTCAGCTAAGTGAAATTTAAATACCATTAGATCCCATTTGAAAGTTTTCTTTATACATAAAAAACTAACATAATGGAAAGCAAAAGTGTTGGTGGGAAGATGTATCATCTACTAGTGTGCATTAATATCAGGAGTCTATCCCCCATCTTCCCACATTTTCGTTCCACTAAATTATAAAAACAGCCAATGACCAGCTTGAGAAATGAAGTATCAACCAGATGTTTCCTGAGCAAAGACAACTTGTGTTTCCCTTTACACATCATCTTCTGAGAGGCAGCAGTACAGTGATTGCGTATCTGACATCATTCACTATGTTGACTTTGGGTTACTCGGAATCTTTCCTTTACTTTACCTTCCAACTCAAATACAATAGTTTTACAGAGAGATCAGATGGAAAGAATGGATTTGAATGACTAGAATACAGTTTGGAAGAACAGTTTATATTCACTTTGTTACAACATCACTCCTTACGGAAACAGGGGATGGGTGACCAGTCATCCCCAAAAAGAACCACTTCTTTATGTGAAGAACAACATGCAAAAATACATTTTCGTAAGAGCTGGTAATTTTAAAACAAAAGTTCTACATGAGAATAGATCCAAAGCTCATTATGATTTATGGAAAGTTTGATCATTGTGCTTTGGATCAGATGCCTGTTTATTGCCAGAAGCTACAGCATTTTTCTAGTTCTATTTGGCTACTAGGAAAACTTCATTAGTCCCTATTAATCTGTAGAGTGTGATACCTACCGATCTGTTAATGGGGGTGGGATATAGAAGAGAGGCTCAATCATCACCTAACAGAAATGCTTCGTTCTTTTTATTCAAACAACCCTATGTTTACAACAGATCACTCTAAAAGAACAAACTTTGAGCTCCATCTTTAGGCAAGGTGGTGGAAACAGAAAGCTAACTTGCAGGTGCTACGTTAACAAAAAGCATGGGAAGGGGGGGTCCATTTTTTTTTAACCCTGTGCACCAGAACTCATAATGCATAATGACTTACAAGTTTCACAGCAGGTAAATTTCTGTTCAAGCTATCCAGAAAAGTTCACATGATGCATGTATAATTTATACAAGATCAGTATTTAATCAGTCATTAATAAAGCTCTAAAATGCTTTATGAATGTCTTTACATCCCAAGACTGAAAAATACCAACTCTTTCTTTCTAGTCGTAATCTCCCATTTAGACAAGAAGCCACATCACACAAAGCTGGAACTGCTTTTTCTTCCCTAGTAATACAAGATAGGTGTAGTAATGCATACTTAAATAAACTGTTTTGCTTTTCTGTCTTCTTTTTGAACAATCTACCTAGTCCCGCCTTTGCTGCTTTGCTTCAGGACATAACTTGTATCCACATCCTGTTACTCAAAAGCAACTCTGGTATTCCTGTGATTGCTTATGACATTTGAATTCCTACATACTTAGCACACTGCCAAAATGCTTTCTGAATTCTCAAGGTAATCTTTTTAAACACTGCCAAAAAAAGAAATTTGAGAATTTATATAGTCAGGTAAAACACCATCATATTCTTGGTATGATGGAGAGAATTCATTTTCAGTACACATAAATAAAAATTTGGGTCCAGTTCCAGTAAGCACATGTGTACAAAAATTATGGAAAGTTAAAGAGAATTATGCTTCAGAACTATTCTCTCTCGATGTCTGTTCTTTATCTGCTGGAAAAAAAATGTGACAGCTAAATTTAAAATGGATTGAAAGTTGTCTAGCACTGTAATATTCAATTCAGTAATGGTCTCCAAGTCCAGAACACTTGAAAAATGCCTAAACTGCTGGCAGCAAGCTCTTCAGAACACATGGAATCCTACTTAGTTCTCATAAATCCAAGTTATTCTTTCAAAAGCCTTTAAAAATAAAACAGCCCATGATATCAGCCTGTCATTTGTGATCTGCCCATCATGGCCACCCTTAAACGTGAGAGACAGAACAAGAGCACTGCATGGACAGAATAATGATTTATTGGAAACAAATATTTACACAAAGTATAAAGGCAATCACTTCACCCATTTCTTTTTTTAAGAAGACAAAGCTACCCCATTACAAGATTTGTTCAGTAACAGGATTAGATTTAGCAATGATTCAGAATATTTTAAATCCCTGAGATTGAGGACCTCTCACCTTTTATGCACTCCATCCTCCACCCTGCCCCGCCCCTCACAAAGGTGCTGGAAATTTAATTTCCTGCTCAGTTGTGCTTTTAGTGGATTACCATCCAAAATTACAGTTTCATTCTTTACATCAGCATGAAATTTAAAAATGCAAGCAAGCTCAAGTTTCACATCAAGTTCATTCGCATTCAGTTGTAGGCATCCAGTTTAAAATTACTTCCAATTTAAAGTTGGTATCCAAGCTGCTTTATAGATAGGGCTACTGACTAAAGACAGAACTTGTTCCCCTTAAATCAGACATGGAAGCCAACTCCTCCTTTTTTTCTAGCTGGACACAACTAATAGTTTTTACTTTTCATACAAGAGTATTGAGATGTGAATGTATGGCTTTAGGCACAAGTCCTTTTATATCTGGACTTAAAGCCATCACAAGGAAGCTTAGTAACACAGAGTTCCAGTTCCTACTGCAGGCTTCTAGTAATTTACCCATATACTGTCAGCATTTTTTAGGTTTATAGCAGGCAGACAGTTTAAGAATGACAAACTTGGGTAGCAGAAGTGTTTCCTCCTAAGCAATGTAAGTTCCATTATTCAATTCCAATAGGAAGCCACCCTGCAAGGCCACAAAGGCAGATCCAGGCATAACACGTGCAGAGAACTTTCAGTCCAAGTTCAGACGTTTTTCCTAGCAAGATCGTTGTCTCTTGTCCAAGGATGTAATATTTCAATCAGCAGAACTCCTCTAGCTGACACATGGCAATCAGCATAAGCAAAGAATGGAGGACAAGGCTAAACTTAAGTACTTTCCAAAGGCTGCAGCTGGTGTTGGTGTTAGCTTGTCAGTGGCTAGCTCTTCAGTTGGAGATGGAAAAAAAGACCTAATAAAATTCAAGGCATAAACCAACTAAAATAAAATTCTTTCCAATATTGGTAGATTTTATCCAGTGTAATAAATAATAGCCACTCCTGTAAGTGCAGAGCTCTAGGAATTAAACAATTCAGATCAACTTTGACCTATGTGCTCTTAGAATAATTACGGCAAGCTCTTTGCATATCCTTCAAGAAAGTAGGCACACCACTCTGTAAAGAGAAAAGTGGAAAAGTCATTCTTGCATAATGTAATCAAGAAAAACTATAAGCAAGATGAAAATTCCCACTATATAGATCAAGGCCTTCAAATAAATACAGAACAATTCTAAGATCTTGTACAAAGCAGCAGGCCATTCCTTTAAACCTTCATGAACAGACTGCATTATTGAAGTTTGCTTGTGTTAAGGTTATTCACATATGCTCTGGAACATGGATTTGTTGTTTTTGTTGCACAAATTTACCTGCCTGGTTGACTAACCAAAGGAATTTGATAGGAATAATCCTTAAAAAAAAAAAATTAAGACAACTGCCATGAGAGCAGACAATAGCAAGACTCTACAAATGGGACTGCATAAAAGCTAGAAAGATCAATACATCCATTTCAGAAAAAATTCTACCCAACATGCAGAAGACAGGTACGAATGCGGTGAATACATTGTTTGAAACAGATTAGCCAAAGACAATTGTGCTGTCAACCTTTACTTACCTTGGCAGCCCAATTGACCAGCCATGATGGAATCATGCCACCAGGATTATCAAAATAGTACATATAGACTAGAGATGAGAGAGAAGTTACCAGAAAGTTATCCAGCTATAGTCTGAGTATTAGCTCTAACACCATATGACAGAAGCTGTCAGTGTGCATGACTGAATCACCAAGTACAACAGTTCTGCTCTAAATTCTTCACAAAAAAGTCAACTTGTACTGAAGTGGAATGTGAAGTAAGTATAGCCATTCCCAGCTAACCTCTGGGAAGCTGAGCGCACCATAATATTAATTTAGACTATTGCAAACCATTTTAGGCAGCCTGTCTTATAAAATAAGGTTGTCTTTAAAGGACTAATCTCAGGCAGGAGTCCATCTCTAGGAAAATCCTTTAATCTATAAATCTGTCAAACATGATACTTACACCATTGCTGAGTTTACCAGATTGCAGCTAGCATCAGACTCTACCCAATTAAACTGGCTATCAGGAAAAGAAGTGTGGGCTGGGGGTGGGATGGGGGAGGCAGAATGAAGTGGTCAGTAGTCTATTCTTAACTACCCAGCCCAACTGTTAAATAAAAGATTCTTAACGGTAGCACACTGCACTGGACGTTTCCAAAAGTTTCATTCATTTTAAAGTATTCCTAGTGCTCAGTACATCCACTTTATAGTAACTGGTTTTAGCTTAAAATTTCCAGTCTCCCTCTTTGTGGAGGGAGCTAATACATACATTCTTTGGCTACGTGACTCGTGATCACACTTTCCTGACCTCTTACCTTTAGATCCAGTCTTGCCATCACTTTCAATCGCCAGACTTTGTTTATAGCTTTTAACTCTGATAATACCAGGCTTTTCAGGGCACTGAGGAACAGACACACTTTGAGCTAACACAACCCAGATCTTCCGCCCATCGACATCCATCTCTCGACATTCACGAATATAGACATACTGTATTGCAAGTTGAGGAGGCATGTCAAAACAGTGTCAGTTTGACATATGATGAATTGACAAGTGAATTCCATTACAAATACCAGCCCCTTCAAGTTATTTCTTATGCTTCTACAGCATTCAGTCCTGCAGAGTAATAATTCAGCTATGTGAGCTTTAGTTGTGTGTGGGAAGAGACACCCACACTCTTCTTCATGCTATATATACTCATGTAACATGAGGACTGAAAGATCTTAGATCAAGTGCAGCAGAGCAGTAGAATCAGCACATTGTTGGGATCCCTGGATGACCAGGTGACAAAAGCTGCAAGAGGAACAAAAAGCTTGAAAGGATACATCTCTGTTTGAGAGAGGAAAAGGGTACTTCACTTCCCAGTAGATTACTTTTTCACCACCATATGTTTTCTCATACAGTTCTACAGTTGAAAAAGGAAGATTGTTAGATATTTTTAATTTCTACTGCAACAGAACCATACATGGCATCAAGAACTGCTCAGATTGACATGAACACATTTTACACGCAACCCTTATGTCAAAATTGATACATATGTAAAGTTGTAGCAGTAGAAGACATTAAAAAAGTTCTGTAGCATGGTTGTTCAGGAACCAAATACACAAAAATAGGTGGCCTGTTTTTCTGCTGCTGTTGAATTCATTGATGAAAAAAAAAAAAAACAAAACCAACCCACAAAAGCCAACCCCCCCCCCCAAAAAAAATAACCCCAAAACACAGAACCAGAATAATTCTGGGGGGAGGCAGAGTCAAATTCCTTTTCAGACAGTTAGCTCATTCAAAGCCTTTCCATCTCAAAGCTTTTTCCTCGCCTATGCATATTCTGTATAATTCTGAGCCACAAGTACAGCAGACTTTTTCACAAGTATGTCATTATCCTTGTAAATGATCCTGAGTTAACATGGAACTAGGATGAGTACTGCTTTCTAATACCTAAAGAGGTCTTACAATGAGGGATTAATGAAGTTTGGAAAAGCTATTAGGAATTTCACAGCAGTATATACAGCCAACAGTGAACAAGAAGCTCGAGCAGTTTATGAGCCTTCATTACACCACCTTCACTCTGCCTGGAAACTCAATCAGAAGGCAGCTGAATAGGAAAAAAAAAAAAAAAATCTAAGAATAGTCCCTAAAACATGGCAGTGACTCAGTCAGATAGTAGTGTGGCATGAAGAAGAAAAATTAGTTCAAATCAAACTACATAATTGTTTGAAAAACTGACTACTGTACAGCTTCTTCCCTTGAGGCAGTAACTGCCATTAGGGGGACCTGACAAGCCATAGGGCCGAGCCAGGATAAGTTCCTGTCTGCTCAGGGACTGGTCATTACATGGGTGCAGTTAAAAAAGGGTGTGATTCAGAAACACGCTTCACATTAACAGTCAGAGTGGTCTTTTCCTCCTTTAGAGCAGAGTTCTGCCTAGAGGTGCTATATATCCTTCAGAGGTAATGCACACAGTCTGCCATATCACTTTCAGTGGTTTTGAAAATAAGGCTAGAACAGACTGATAACCTCATTGCTAAGGCAAGAAGAGTGCCACAGATGGGAGATTCTTTCCCTATATGTGTTCCAAACTAGGCTTCTGTTAGTATGCCCTGCAAGTCAGCTGTCACCCACGAAAACAGCTTCTCTTCCCTAGGTTGGAGCAGTATTGGATGCACAATACTCCCAGTGCTGTAATAAGCTACAGCATTATGCTATCCACCAGAGGTCACTGGAGCATTGGTTTATTAGCTTTACTTTCATTTCTAACTGCAGAGCTTTCCTTTTTCAAAGGTATTAAGACACTATTTTAAAAGACCTCGATGCAATTTTTAGCTACTAACTCATGTACCTTTGTATCTTTGCAAACACAGAAAAACCACACAATAGGTAAGTCATGTCCTACCTGTATTCACTTTAGTCTGTCAATACTAGTGGACAGCTTCTGATCAAAGCAGAATACAGTGCATTTTAATCAATAACCAGATTTCACTTAGCATTACTACAATAGATCACAAGTCTGTTTTATTCGTAACGGGCACAGCTGCATTTGCTGCTTTAGCAGTCCATTATTACCATTAAATTGTTGGGAAGCAAATCTCAATCAGGATGGTGTTACAATCAGGAGTAGCAAGTTTCAATGTTGCTAAGGCCCAACCATTTTGTATCATGCCACAGAAGCATGCGGTACCTCAGTCACTACTCTACAGTTTAGTCACGGTTTCCCTGCTGAATTGGCAGCAGCAGCACAGACCAGATCTCAGGTTGTCCCTGTCTTGTAGATATCCAGGAGCCTGCTCTGGAAATAGCCAGGGTACCAACAGCAATGCAACAACAGCAGCAGACTGATACCAAAACTTCTGAGGCCTCAGGCAAACCCTTGGCAACAACAGATCAAAGCATGATCTGACAGGAATCCTGTCCATATCTGCCTCCAGTCAGGCCTTCATAAAGAGTTTTGCTGAACAGAACTAGAGGACAGCGATTAGCTGTCTGGTAACTGCAGGAGCAGTTACCTTTTCAACTAAAAAGGCACCTACTTCTACTCCGGTCACATTTTTATTTCAGTGCCAGCCAGCAGTTCAGCAGAGAACTCTTCTTTGGACTGCCATTATTGCATAGCTAAGAGCAACAGGGAATACAAACAGTAAAATAAATAGCAAGAAGGCTCTGAATGGAAGTTTTCTGGTTTTTCTCCCTAAATGCGAAAGGAGAAAACCCAAGCTTATATAGTTTACACTGAAAATGTTGGCTAGCACTAATTCATCTTATGTACAGTTCTAAAGAATGGGCGGGCTTGTGTCAATTTTTAAGCTAAAAGGAAAGCGTTAACATTATGTTTATGCCCTTCAAGAGTTAACTTCTGTGAAACGCTGGACTTGAAGTACCAGCACAAGTATAAATTCACAGATGAACATATCATGGCCAACAAGGATATAAACACCAGCTCTGCAACATTATCTAGTTTTTAGTTTAAGGGTGTAGCTTCCCCCAACTGCTTCCTTTCTTTTCTCTAAGAAGGAATTAAAAAAAAAAGTGTTTGTTTAAGAAGGATTCAGTTCTCTTAAATGCACTTAAATCAAAGACTACTGAAGTAACTTAAGATAACACAGTATTTTTACATCCAATATGATAATGTTGAGTCCCACTCCACCTCTTTGTTTCATTAATGGCAAAGCAGCCTTTGCTACAAGAAAGCTATTGCCCATTTTGACAAATAACACTTACTAATGAAGACATAGCTTCTTAAGCTTGACCAAGTACTGACATGAGTCAAATATGTGGTTCTCTGTACCAATACAGCCAAAGGCATTACCAGTAATTGTTCACCATAGAGCTGTCCTAGACTTAACAAGCACAACATTTAACAATTCTTTGGTTTTTAACACTGTTTGTTCAGCAAAACACTTTGGCCATGTTTCAGTTTTATTGGCCTGAACTGATTTTAAACACAGGCTTAAATGGGAAGGGCTCCTCATCTTTAAAATAAATGGATTACTGGATGCCTGCATCAGCTGAATCCCTGCCTTGTCACTGCTGACTTCAGATGTTTTAATATCATATGGATATCCAGGTTCAACTCCCTTTTTCAAAGACAACATTAAACAAACACAACTAAATTAGTTATTCCTTTCTCTGTAAAAGCCTGAAGTCACCAACTATTCTCTCGATACACCCATTTCTGATTGTAAAAGGTGCCAAGAACAACCAATGCTTTCAGGAAAAGACATTCCATCACGCATCAAACTGGTGCAAGCCATTGCACTGCTCCGCTGCAATATGCAAAGATGCACAAAAGGTACTGCCTCCATTTCTCCACAGAACATCTACTAAAATTTAACCTAGGAATTACAACAACTAGAAGCTGCAAGGTGCTCCAGCATAACAAGTGATGCCAGCTATGTGCTTTAACCAACATGGAAAGAATTCATTCCAGAAGGAAGCTATATGGTGATTCCACGTCAGTGTCTACTTGTATATTTGCAGAGTGCAACCTTATCCCAAAGGATACTTAAGTCTGGCTGGAAGTCTTTGGACGCAGCAATTTTAAAATACCTTTGAACAAAGTTTTAGTGGGAAGAGTCAACGTGGACATAAAGCTTGCTTTTAAACTGCTTAGATGAGCTTACCTTTAACATACTGATCCCATTGTTTTCTGAAATCTAAATCCATATAGACATCCGCACACAGTTTTGGGGGACAGTCAGCAAGACCACCGAAGATTTTATACTCATAAAGTCCTGATTGCTGTGGAAACAGAATGGGGAGAGGAAAAGTCACACAGGAAAGGGAAGTACTCTGCAGCAGGGAGAACAGCTGAAGGAAGTTAGGTGGGGCACATACTACAAATTTGCTCAAGAGCTGTGAAAGCAAGTGTTCAAAAAACAATGCAAGATTCAGTCTTTAACCTCTCGACTTTTTGATCTATACATGAAAGTTTAAATCCAGGCAGGCTGACCTGCCCAGCACAATGGTTGTTCCTTCCCTTACACCAGTACCCTTTTACTTCATAAGTAGTTCCAAAGGCAGCATGTTTCTTCACACACACACACACACGCCCCTTTTCATCTCCAGTGGTCAGTGTGGACTAAATCCTGCCCACATGGAAGCTTACCAGAAGCATTAAATTGTTGTGGCAAGGTCTCCAGACCCTATATAATGTATTTAAGAATCTCAGCCATTTCCAGGATGTTACCAAGTACTGCACGATCTGGAATAAGCTTTCCAGCTAGTCAGGTATGCTTATGCTTCAGGCTGTGATACAAGAATGCTTTATAATGTTCACGCTTATATACAATGCACTATTATATCTACTTTGAATATTTATCAGCTATTTTCTTTCTGAAAGCTGTCTGCACTGAAGGGGTGGGGTGCAGGATATCTCCTATGTTAATGCTTTTAATGTTTCAACATATGGAAACTCCATCTGTGCCTATAGAGCAATGTTTGTTCTATTGTTAGTACCAGTTCAGGACTAAATTAAAACAATGAGAGTATTTTGAATATACAGTGTAGGAGTCCAATTCAAGCATTCCCAAGGAAAGGGAGGGAAGGATTATACAACATTCTGTTAGTGAACGGTTGATTTTTCTTCTTCCCCTCCCCTCCACAAATCAACCCTAGAAGATGAAGATTTGATGTACTAGAAGATAATAATGGGACCAAGAAGCTTAAGGTACTCATCTTCACTGTGGCTTCACTGAAGCACCAATCCCTAGCTTCAAACCTGAACTGTTCAGCACCCGTGCAGCCCCATGCACTCATGTCACCTTTGTAAAAGGCATCAACATTTTTATTTTCAAAAGAAAAACTAATTTTGAAAATATCACACCCGAAATTGAGCCAAGACCCACCAGCATATGCCAAAGCACTACATTGGTACTTCAAAAAATAGTTGGTTTAGCTTAAGCACTATTTCATTCCAGGTCACTAGTCAGAAATGCTATGTGGATTATCTTGCATGTATGTATATTAACATTGTCACATAAGGCAGGAGAATAGCAAACCACAATTCTCCTCGCTCTTCTAGTAATTCAGAAAAAAAGTCTTACTTCCTCATGTCATTGGGCTGCTCTTCCACTGAAGAACAGAAGTCTTTAGATTCTTTTCCTGGACTTTGATTATGACTGCATCTTGAGAGGTAACAAACCAAGCTCACCCGTAACTTTAATTCTGCAGTCAACATGCAAAGCTAGCTGTTCATCAGCACACTCACCGTTCCTTTGCATCCTTCAGCTTCCTCTAAATCTGTTTGATAGAAGAAAGCCATGCAGTAATTTTCTCACTTAAACTATCAGAGCTTGCCTCAAAGGTTTTGCATAGAATTGTGTGCTTTGTACCTTAGCGAGGACAGACCAGTTTCTCACTTCCAAACAGAGCTTTAGGACCACAAACTACTACCTTCTATTGCTTGTTTCTAAAGCTTTTATGTTCCACCCAATAGGCAGCTGCAAGTGCCTGTAATACTTTTAAACTGAGGATCATCAAAAGATATGCATACAATATAGGTCTTTAAAGCATTTTTGCTATAGATAGAACCTCCATCAGAGGTTAAAATAGAGCTGTAGTGATGTCATTTACTGTCACATAATTCAGAAGCCACTAAATACAGAGTGCAAGTGCTGCACTACCTAATCTCCTGACTTAACAGATGGGATTCTACCTTACATTCAAAGGTAGGCTCCCAACCGGTTCACAGTATCAGTTCAGTCATTCTTGCATCTGTAGCCTTCAAGTTCTTACACTGTAGCTCAAGACAGATCAAGAAATTATGTTGTTGTTCTCTACCAGTCTGTTTGTTCCACTGCTAGACAAATGGTGGCATACATCATTAAATATCTTCTACTAAAAAAGGTAGTATTTTGATAACAGTATGAAATAACAAATCATGATCTGAAAAGTGAACCGTACATCTTGCAGGAGGCAAGATAGACATTCAATAAAGACAGCAATTTACAATAAAAAAGTTAAAACAAGAGTGGAATGTTTCAGGTTTTCAGAGGCCTATCAGCAGGAGAGTCAATCAGCAGGTTGGAATACAGCACAGAGCAGGAAAGCCCGGGAGATCTGTTTGTGTAGCCTGCAGAGAAGGTGTAAAGAGAAGGCAACAGGAAATATAATTGCTGCCTTCAGCTTCCTGGACTACCACTGCTATAGTGGACTCCCAGTTCAGTAAGTGTTAAAAGCCAATTTTTCCAGTAACAACTTTAAGCAAAGACCCTTCTCCTAGAGTTGGTTCTTCTTCTCATGTGGCAATTTGAAGCAACTGCAAGACAAAACAAACAAGAGACTTATTTCCCAGCAGAATCAGAAGACTGGACTTGAAAAGGTCCCTTGCATCCTACCTAGTCTGTCCATCCACCCTAAATCGGGGTCATGTACAAGATGTGAAAAACAACAAAAAAAAGACACCTCAATGTTTTTCAGCGAGCTCAATAGTCCTTCTATATAAAAGCGTGAGAAGAAGCCTGAGCCTTCCATCTAGGCAGCTCCAGTTTATACAATAGCAGCAAAGCCACAGCAACACTGGCTTCCCCAGTACAAGTCTCACGGACACCTGGACCCATTTGTTTGGCTAAATCCAGCCTCCAACTTCCCAAAGTTACTTTGCCTTCATTCACCGTGTGATGCATTTACAGGTCTGTGACGAGCTCCAGTCCTAAAGTCTCTATTTCATCCACTCCAGAAGCAACACTTCTAGTAACTTCTATTTCATCAGCATATCTAGTGCCTGCATAGATACCTGGCAGACACCAGAGGCTCACCTTTGCTGCGTGCTCTCATTGATAAGCTTGTCTTGCTATTGCCAGTTACCATGCCCACGCTGTAAATAAGGACTACTTGCCACCAAAAAATTCTGAGGTGTATGAAGTGACTTTTTTTTTTTTTCAAAAAGACTTTCCCTACCCTGTCTTGCCTTTCACACAGACCTATACGTTTGCTTTATTTGCTATATTTTTCTAACATGACCATGCCTGAAATGATTTTTCAGAATACACATACAAAATTGTCATGCAAAGCACAGCATGAAGTCCAGCTTTATAAGGAGTTGAGAGGTAACTATGATCACAGAACTAAAGAAATAGGATATTTATATGGATTCAAAAGTCATTGTTAAATCATAAATCTGCATCAGAATGGAAACACCGTGTTAATCACCTACAAGTCAGTTCTGGAAGCCTAAACTTTTGAACTTCTTAAGAGAAGTAAGTCCCCCAAAAAGGGGGGATTTCATTTCAACCTTTTCTGAACTACGTTCTGATTTTAGAGGGAGAAAGGTGGAAAATCAGTTTGAAGGGAGTTTTGGAGAGAGGGAGAAGGAAGGGAAGCGGGAGTCTGCAGATCAGGAGGATGCTCTAACACGGGAAGTGCTGAGGGACAGGTCTCTCCTTCACCACACGCATGGCTCAGAGGGAGCTCGGGAGAGAAGTGGGACGCGCAGAGCAAACACTCCGTTAGACCCACGACTGCTCCTGTCGCCGACAGCACCTTCCGCCAGGAATTCCTCCAGCCACCAGCCGTTAACAAGCTTTAAGAGCCTCACAGTTTGCAGGTTCCCCCAGCAGTTTGTAAGAGCGGTGTTTATTGCAGCAGGGCAGCTTTCTCCATCAACAGTTAATAGCATTACCCTGAAAGCTGCTTTCCGAGAGCCTGGAGAAACTGAGCCGAGGCCGGTAGCGCCTAGACGGGCAACGGACCTCAGCCTGACCTGTGCGGGGAACCGGCGGCGCTGGGGGGGGGCGTGGAGGGGGGTCGCCCCCCTGCCCCCGGCAGCCAGGCGCCCCCCCGCCCGCTCCGGGACGCTACGGCCGCGTCCCGCACCGCTCCTCAGCCGCGCTCCCCCACGCAGGGCT